ATATGACATTTAGTGTTTCTAGCTTCCTGCTGGAATTCCTCATCTGTTCATATATTTTGTCTGCTTTTTCCACTAGAGCCTTTAATAGTCATAATTATTTTAAATTCTGTATGGGCATTCTAACATGAGTTATCTTTAAGTCTTTTTCTATTGATTGCTTTGTTCTTTGATAATGTGGTCTCCCCCCCCTTTTTTTGTATGTATGCATCACATTTTTTATTTGGTTTTAACTTTTTTTTTTTTTTTTTGAAGCAGGATCTCCCTGTAGCCCCAGCTGTCCTAGAACTCACTACGTAGACCAGGCTGGCCTTGAACTCACAGAGATCCACCTGCCTCTGCCTCCCAAGGGCTGGGTCTATAGGTGTGCACCACCATGCCCGGCTTAACTCTTTTTTTAATATTTTATTTTTATTTTATGTGTATGAGTGTTATGCCTACATGTAGGTAAGTGCACCTGTGTTGTGCAATGCCCACGGAGGACAGAAGAGGCTGTCGGAGTCCCTGGAAGTGGAGTTACGGACAGTTGTTAGCTGTCATGTGGGTGCTGGGATTCGAACCCAGGTCTTTTGCAAGAACAGTGTTCTTAACTGCTGAGCCATCTCTCCAGCCCCCTTAACTCTTATTTTTAAAAGATTTTTTTTTAAACTATGTGGGTTGGGGGAGTATGTACAGGTGAGTACGATGCCATTGGGAGTCCAGAAAGAGCATCAGATCCCGTGGAGCTGGGTTACATGTAGGCAGTGGTGAGCTGCCTGACATGGGTGCTAGGACCCAAACTCGGGCCCTCTGGAAGAGTAGTAGTACAGTGCACTTGTGGAGGTCAGAGGACAGTTTCAGGTGTCGGCCCTTGCCTTCCACCTTGTTTGAGACAGGGTCTCTTCTTGTTCACCCCTGTGAACATCAAGTTCGCTGTTCAGTAAGCTCCTAAGGATTCTCGTGTCTACCACCTGTCTCAATGGAAGAACATTGGGATTACATGTGTGTGCTGCCATGCCTGGCTTTACATGGATCCTGGAGAGTCTGGCTCAGGTCCTCATGCTTGCTTGGCAAGAGCTTCTTCCCCTGAGCCATGTCTCCAGCTCTGTTTGCTTTTTGAGATGAGTTTTCACTGTGTAACCCAGGCTGGCTTCATATTCTTGTCTCCTGTATCAGCCCTGCCTGACAGGTATGTGCCACCACACCCGGCTCTATCACATGTCTGGCTGAATGTTAGACATCATGGGTAAAATATTGAAAACTGAAGTATGTAGTATGTGTGCCTTCAGTAGCCATGCTTCTCCTAGGCTGTTAGTGTGTAGGGGATCAAGTCAGCTATCTTGGGAGTTAAGCTCAGTTTGGAGTTTGTTTTTGCCTTGTTACTTTAAATGCCTCACCCGTCTCTCATGTTATGTGCTTGGGGCAGAAGCTGTTTCCATTTCTGGGTGTTTCTGCTCTGCCCTCAGCCTTCATCTTCCTGTATTTCTGGGTCTCAAGGGACTATGTGCTTTTGCTTTCTTCCAACACTAGAGTCCTGTGCCTTCCACTTGGTCTTAGTAGTTGAGGGGCAGAGAAGCTGGCCTGTCTTGTGCTTGTCCAGCCTTGTTCTCAGGAACGCTCTGGGACTACAGGCTTGCGTCACCATGCCCTGCTTGAATTCTTGGTGGCGCACACCTTTAGTCCCAGCACTTGGGAGGCAGAGGCAGGTGGATTGCTGTGAGTTCAAGGCCAGCCTGGTCTACATAGTGAGTTCCAGGACAGCTGGGGCTACAGGGAGACCCTGTCTCAAAAAGACCAAAAAAAAAAAAAAAAAAAAAACAATAAAAAATTTTTTTTATTATTACTTTTTAATTTTTATGTGTATGGGTATATTGTCTGCACGTATGTGAGTGCACCCGTGTCATGCAATGCCGTGGAGGTCAGAAGAGGGCGTCGGCTTCCCCTGAAACTGGAGTTAAGGACGGTTCATAGCCATGTGAGTGCTGGGAATCAAGCCCTGGTCCTCTGCAAGAGCAGTCAGGGCTCTTAACCCCTGAGCCATCTCTCCAGCCCAATGTCGCTGAATTCTTATTTTCTCTGTTTTATACCCAGTGGCTCTTCCTGTCACACTTCGTCCTTTGATGGGCTTCTCTTCCTTATCCATTATATTTTGCTTCACTGAGATCTTAGCTCTTTGATAATGTCAGGAAATGTCATCTTTGTCTTCTGGCTTTTTGTTATTGTTAAAGTGAGTGTAATATTCTTTTCAACTTTTTGTACTCCAAAGGGAAGCCTAAAATGCTTTGATTTTATTTTGACTATCACGAAACCCTGAACAGGCCAGGGCTGTACCCCAGATAGTTGAGCAGGTAAAAGCACTTGCTGCACAAGCCTGAGGACTTGGGTAGGATCCCTGGAACCCATGTAAGAAACTGGACACAGTGGTGCATATCTAATCCCAGCACTTCTCATTGAGATGGGAGGAAGAGACAGGAAAAGCCTCTGGAAGTTCATGGGCCAACTAGCCCAGAACACACCAAGTGCAGAAGCGAGAGACCCTGCCTCAGAAACAAGGTGGAAAGATAGAACCAACTCCCAGAAGTTGTCCTCTGACCTCAGCATGCACACTGTGGCATATAAGCAAGCGTGCACATGCTGTTGCGCTCCCTCTCCCTTCCCCCCCCCTCTCTCTCTCTCTCTGCATATAAGCCTGCATACACAAAAAATTTAAAAAAAAAAACAACAAAAAACTCAAACAAATACTCAATGGATACCAGGCCCTGTGTTGAGGGAGTCTGACTTAGTTTCAGGGATTCTTTCCAGCATTATGTTTAATTTCAACCAAAAGGCTGTTTCAGAGCACACTACCTAAGCTTTGCTGAAGGGAGGCATTGCTGGTAATTGGCATCGTATATAAATGTCTCTGTGGGCAGAAGGATTGGAGATAACAGTGTGCTCCCAACTCCTGCAGGCACCAAGGTTGCATTCTTGTTTTTCTGTTCTGTGTTCCCTGTCCACTAACATCTGCTTCTGTAGGTTCATGTTCCTTCTGTGGACCTAATTTCTTCCAGTAAATTCCTTTTTTGCTTAAAAGTTTACTAGAGATAATTTCTGTCACTTACAAGAAGGATCTAACTGATAAAGTAGCGCTTTTGTCTCAAGAAATGTAAAAATTAGGAGAGGACGGGGGGGGTGTAGCTCAGTAGTAGAATATATATTTAGCATGCATGAGGCCCTGGGTTCGAGTTCTAGCATTACAGAAACAGAATGAAAGAGGAAACATACAAGCCTCCCCTTATTTGTAAGGAATTCATTCTAAGACACTGAGTGGATATCTGAAACTGGCTGATACCAAGCCATATATAGATCTTGTTTTTCCCCACATACCCTGCAACGTTGCCACAGAGTACCAGAGTTAACCCTTCCATGCCTATGTCCTGGTGCCTTCTTTGCATCACAAGTCTCATGCTTCAGGACTGTTACTGAGTAAGAAAGGCATAGTTACTTGAACACAAGCCTGACATATTGCCACAGTCATTCTATTCAAAAAACTGAGGTGCCTATTAAGTGACTGGTTGGGTGGGTAGCATATATAGTATGGATACATGGGACAAAGGGTGATTCCTATGCAAGGTGGACAGAGCAGGATGGTGTGAGATTAGAATACTATTTAATATTTTCAGACTGTAGATGACCCAAGGTAACTGATTCTGTGACTATCAGCCACAGATAAGGAGGAAGTATTGTGCCCAAAAGACATCTGAGGCCAAATGCAAAGCAAAGCAGTGCAGCCAAGATTGTGCAAGCTTTGTTTACCAAAGACCACATAGTAAATCTTTTCATCTAGTGGCCATATGGGCTCTGCTGTGACTCCTTAACTCTGCCATTGTAATACAAAAGCAGTCTGGATCATATGCCAACAAATGGGAGGAGCAGTCCATAAACTATTTACAAATAGAGGCCAAGAGGGTTTGCCAACCCTGGTATATCCTAGAATATGTTTAGAGGAGGCATGTAGATGGTCCATGGTCTGTTTATCCATCTGTAGTTCTTGGCCAATGCCAAAGTTCCAAGTTTTGGCAGGTTGTCTCTTTTTTTTGGGTGGGGGGGGGTTGTTTTGTGTTTGTTTTTTTTTTTTTTTGATTTGTTTTTAGATTTTTTTTTAACAAATCTTTTTTTTAGGTTTATTTTTATTTTATGTATATGTGTTTTCTCTGTGTACCATGTGAGTAGTTGGTGCCGTTGGAGGCCAGAAGAAGGAATTGGATCCCCTGGAATTGGAGGTACAGTTGTCAGCTGTCTTGTGGGTATGGAGAATGTCAAACCTGGGTCCTCTGCAGGAGCAGAAAATACTCTTAACACATCTCTCCAACCCACAAATTTTTTTTTTCTTTAAGATTCATTTTATTTTTATTTGTGTGTGCACGTGTGTGACCTCTGAGCCTGTTTTTGTTTTTCTTGTTTGTGTGTATGAGTGTATTGCTTGCATGTATGTAAGTGCACCTATGTTGTGAAATACCTACAAAGGTCAGATCGCCTGGAACTGGAGTTATGGATGGTGGTTAGCCACCACGTGGGTTCTAGGAATCCAGCCCCAGACTTCTGCAAGAGCAGCCAGTGCTCTTAATCCCTGAGCTATCTTTCCAGCCCCGTTTTTGTTTTTTTGGGTTTGGGGTTTTGTTTTTTTTTTTTGGTCTTTTTGATACAGGGTCTCCCTGTAGCCCCAGCTGGCCTGGAACTCACTGTATAGACCAGGCTGGCCTTGAACTCACAGATCTGCCTGCCTCTGCAGGACAAAGTGCTAGGATTCAAGGTATGCTACCACGCCCAGCCTGTTTGTGTTTTTTAAGACAAGTTCTTACATTGGTCCAGGCCAACCTGAAACTCACTTTGTAACCCAGGCTGGCCTCAAACTTGTGTTGATCCTCCTGCCTCAGCCTCAAGTGCTAGGACTACAGGTGTGAGCCCCCATGCCCTGCTTTAGACTTGTCTTTTTCCGTGTGTTGATTATGGCATTATTCTTTCTGCCCACTCTTCTCTTACAGAAGCAAAACCAGCCCCAGAAATATTTGAAAATGAAATCATGGAACTGCTGAGAGACTTCACCAAAAACAAAAACAAAGAGCAGAGACTGCATGCCCCAGATCTTGAATATCTCTTTGAGAAGCCGCATTGAGCTGTGTGCCACTGTCTGGCATGGTGATCAGTACATGGATAGAAACTGCTTATGCTATTGGCCTTGGTTTCCTGCGTGTTCTTAGATACTTGACCCTTTCAAGTGATGGACATTTCTCTCTCCCAGGACAGACATGTAAATGTGCAGTCTGACTCATGTTCTGTTCCGTGCCTCCAAAATGGTTTGCCTGCTCCAGACCCCTTGTTAGCCAGCTATGTACTGTGGTGCAGGTGTGCCACAAGAGGGCACTGTAGGCGAAGTGATCAAGATAGCTGCTGCCCCAGCTGAGCTCAGTGAAAAGTGGCACCTGCTAAAAGTACAGTATGGCCAGCAGTGGTGGCGTACCCCTTTAATCCCAGCTCTTGGGAGGCAAAGGCAGGCGGATCTCTGAGTTCAAGGCCAGCCTGGTCTACATAGTGAGTTCCAGGACAGCTGGGGCTACAGGAAGAACCTGTCTCAAAAAGACAAAAAAAAAAGTACAGTATGAAGAGCCGCCTTCCCACCGTCTACCCCAGGGTCTTGTTAAGACAAAACTCCCCCCTCCCAGCCTCATGTGGTCCTTTCTGCCAAGGAAAGCTGATCCAAGTCCCTGAGCTGAGCCCATCAGAGGCACAGCAGGCAGAATGAGGGCAGTGAGCAGGGATGGTGTGAGCATGCAGTCCAAGTCAGCGTCCTCATCAGATTTGGTTTACGGTGTACACTTTGTAAATTGAAAGAAATTGAATATTAATGAATATTGAGAGAAGGGAATTGGCAGTTCCCCAAATCCTCTCAATTATTTTTTTGTCTGTTTTCATATGATCCATAGTTCTCTGTTTAGAATGGGGTTTTACAAGGTCACAGTTGCTTTTCTTTAGCCAACTTCCCCCTCATTCCTGCAGCCTTCACAATTGTTTCAGTTGACTAAATAATGGTGATACATAAGTAATACACTGCTGGGTGTGCTGGATTACACCTGTAATCCCAGCATGGGGGACTCAGGTCAGAGGATCACAAAGAATTTGAGGCTAGCCTGAGCTGTAGTATGTTAGAATGAAGTAGTTGGAAGAGCTTGGCTCTGGAGTCAGGAGAGCTCTGTTGCTGAAGGTGAGCTCCCTGGAGAAGCTCTGCCCTCAAGATGTTAGGAGGGACAGTCACTCTTACTGGGAGTATGTGAAAGTATTGGCTAGCAAAAAGCTGACCAACACTGGTAAGCATGGGGTTGGTAAGCAGAAGAGCTGCAGGCAAAGAGGAAGTAGATCCCCTTGGCCAGGGAAGGAAAAGGGAGAACTAGCCTTCAGTTACCTCACAGCACTCTAGGTGGCATCAGGCCTGTTTTATAGATGAGAGAGTTGCCTCCAAAGGAATCAGTAATGTGTCCAGGATCAAAAAGGTAGAAATAATCATTGCATGGTCTACCTCCAAAGCCATGGACACTGCTGGAAAATACTGCCTTACTGTTGTAGTAGAAACTTACACCTTCAGAATTGTGCTAGAAAAAATGAAGGCAAATACACTACAGTTCTGAGACATGAGCTTTGTGTCAGGTGTGGAAGGCCACCAAGTGCTTCCCAAAGTGAGGAGAGGTGAGCTTGGCCACCCAGCACAGCTCTTGTGAGTGAGGAAGCACTGTAGAATGGTGGTTATGAGTTCAAATCCTTGCCTTGCCTCTTAACTGCTAGATAAAATTCATTGGCTTGAGCTTCAGTTTCTAACTAAAGATGATCTCACTTAAGTTGAAAAAGCGAGGAGATAAAGACGCGACACTGTTGCACAGGGGATGCCCTAGGAACATGTGATTGTGTGCCTTTGGTCATGGCGGTGTCACCCTGAGACTTAGAACCTGTCCTCTGACATAGATGGCCTGTCATGTCAGCACAGTCACCATCCATGGAGGGCAGTCACCAGCAGGCCAGAGAGCCTAGCCTATCAGTCACTGCAGAGCATCTTACCAGCCAGGGAGACTGGAAAGAAAATACCCTGGTGACAAGTCCTTTGATAGAAAAATCTAGCACTCGCCTAAGCAAGGATGGGAGTGAGACCTAGGGAGTGGAAGCAGGAGCTGAGGGAGACTCTGGCCCTTGACTCCAGCTTCTGATGTCCCATGGGGAGAATGTTAAACAGGGAGGGTTTATATATAGAAACATACCTGAACTGGAAGCGCACATGAATTGCACACCGCCTTCCCCATTTATCCTGAGCACATTATGCAACAAAGCCCAGAAACCAAGTATGCAGTATGGGCCTTTCCCCCTCAGCTCTGATTTTGTCTTAACATGGTGTCAGCTGCTGCCACCGCACCTGGGATACTTCTAAAGCAATTGTTTTCCTCCCAGGCTGCTGGTTTGTGTTATCTTTGAAAGTGCCAAGGATCTTGCTAGCTTCAGCTGTTCAGTGTCAGGCCCATGGGTGCTATGTAAACAGTTTTTCCCTTTATTAGGCATTAAGTAAAACTAGGCTGGCCACGGTGCATTTTTAAGAAATTAGTAAACATATAGCCAGGGCCAGCAGCCCTTCAGGATCCCATGAGGAGTGGCAGCTAGACTCATTCCTCAGTTTGACACGTCGCTGCTCACTGACCTCATTCAGAGCCTGCACTGGGCACACAAGCATCTGCCCTGCCCTAACCAGTCTGAAGTGGCCTCCTGAGTTCCCTTTGCACAGGCTCCCACGTGACACATCAAAATGGGTCAAAGCTGTTCCTTTCCCATTCGAGTTTTGCTTTGTCATTTTTAAGTCATGAGAGCCCACACGCTAAACACTTATTCCCAGGCTTTTTGTGACAGGTAGTGTCTCTTGCTGAGGCCAGTGGACAGGCATCTCTTACTGGCTTGGAGAACTAGCTAGAGGTCATCCAGTCTGTCTCTTCAGCTCCAGCCAAGGCAGCACTGACACAAGCTGGCTCATACTTTAAACATCAGTGGGGAAGGAGATTCCTCTGAGATAGTTTGAATCTCACATTTTCCTTCAGTCCATCTGCCACTTTGAGGCTAGATGGAGAGAGGAAAGCTTCCTGATAAGTTAGCTCAAAGCCAGATGTGGGACACACACCGTTAACCCTAGCTTTCAGGAGACAGGATTGCCACCAGTTCCAGGATAGCCTGGGCTACACAGTGAATAATAGTCCAACCAGAGTTGAGTAAAACCTGTCTCAAAAAGGGGGCCTGGTGCAACGGACCAGCCCAGACCGGGGCAGTTCAGTCCGATGGGAACAGGGTCGTCGAGAGGGTGGACAAGGAGTCGGTGAGTGACAAACAGACGCAAAAGGAGCTTGATGAAAGTCTGAGTGTAATTTTCACAGTTGCAAGGTTTGAAATATATACAGCAAAGATTACAAAAAAACGCAGAACAGTCATGCTAAGATTCACAGTTCCAGAGGTGAAAGTAAAACATAATTTTGCCAACATATCTCTCTATCTTATCAACCTGACACTAGACAGTAAATTCCTGTTTTTCTGTGTTTGTTTAACTGTCAGCCTTTCTCACACACTTAAGATTCTGCTCGGCTTTGTAATCCCAGGTCAAGATGGCCTTGATTCATTAAGCACCCCATTAAGCACTTCCAACACCAGTGGTGCCAGGTTGTTACTTTTTAAACGATCTGATAACATTCCTTGCTTGTTTGTAGTGGGCCACAGGGCTTCTAAGTTAGTTTAACTCTATAAGTCCCAAAAAGGCTATCTCATGTTAGGGATCCATGAAACCATACTTTTCTCTTATCCTACCAATTTTAAAATACCTTCTATATTTGCTCTTTAATGCTCTCTTATTGATTGTTTATCAAAAGACACCAAGGTGGTCTTGATCTTACCAATTTATCCGTGAATTGTAATGAATAACAAGAAACCCTTCTTCTATCTATATTTATCTATCTACATTTTTCTTCTAGAAATCTATTATTCCCTGGACTTTCCAGCATTAACTCTGCCTAGTCACTTCTCACTAAGAGCTTTAGAATTATATTTTTCTGATCCTATTACCTGAGTATTAAGGGTCCAATCCAAGCCCCCAGAGGCCGTTTTATAAGAAATGGCCGTGGAGTAAAAATACAGGGTGTTATTTCTATTACATTCAGTAAAGGAGGTATAACAGGATGAGTGCATAGCTTGAGTGAAGAGAGTGTGCCAGGTACACTGCATGTTTCTTATCACAACCAATTCCAAGAGGCAACCTTCCTTGAAGTTCCAGCCTCAACCCACAGAGGATCTCACACGGGCTTCATTGGAGATGGCGTGACAGCCTGGGACCTGGAGAGATGGCACAGTGGTTAAGAGCACTCTTGCAGAGGACCCTAGTTCTATTCCCAGCATCCACATGGTGACTAACAACCGTAACTCCACAGTTTCTAGGGGATCCAACGCTCCCTTCTGTCCTCCGCAGGCATTGCATGATGCAAGTGCACTTAACATGTAGGCAATACACTCATACACATAAAAATAAAATTTTTAAATGGAGACGTGATATGAAATGAACCTCTGACCTCTGCACACAGACACTGCACACACAGGAGAGAGAGTGCACCTGCACACAAGCAGGCATGCGAGAGTGCACCTGCACAGGTGACCACGTGTTCACACACATGCACCCACTCAAGTGCAGCAGCCTTACATGGTAAGCAGACCAGTGAGGCTGGGGTGCCAACACGCTGCCTTGTTAATACAGCCAACAACATCTGTAGGGTGCTACATTTGCTCCTGAGCAGCTGACCAGTTGGTGACACGGATTAGATCCCAGCCAAGTGACCTGGTAACACCTGAGTTTCCCAGCAAGCTCTTGAGGGATGAGGAGCTGTGTGAGCCTCTTCTCCAGTCTTCAGCAGCAGGGGTGGGATGGGTGACCTTAGGTGGCAGTCTTGTGGCTTTGAGAAACTAGAATGCAGCCACATACAATGGGGTGGACCCATAGTCCTGGCTACTTGACAGGCCGAGGGAGAACTGCAGGTTCAGGGCCAGCCTGGGCAACACGAGACCCTGTCTCTGAAGAGGAATGGCTAGTAGTGCATTGAGGGGATGGTAGAAAAGTCTAAGCTGTGCATAGCAGTATCAGTCTTGAAAAGAGGTATAAAGAAATCTGCCTCAAGATCCATGATGATTAAAGAAGAGTTGAAGCCTTGCAGGGTCCCTGATCTCACCTGAATCCAGAAACTCCTGCCAAAGAGGAAAGTATCCCTTTAAAACATGAAACTCATCATCTTATGTAACTAGCCATTATTGTATGGGATTATATTTTGTTTTGGTTATTTTTGTAATTTTCTTTTTTATGTGTATGAGTGCATTGCCTGCATGTATGCGACTGCACCCGTGTCATGCGATGCCGCAGAGGTCAGAAGAGAGCTTTGGGTTCCCCTGGAACTGGAGTTAAGGATGGTTCGTAGCTGCCATGTGGGTGCTGGGAATCGAACCTGGGTCCTCTGCAAGAGTAGTCAGTGCTCTTAACCGCTGAGGCCATCTCTCCAGCCCCTTGGTTTTTTTTTTTTTTTTCAGACAGGGTCTCATGTAGCCCAGGCTGACATTGAACTTCATATGTAGCCAAGGGTGACCTGGAACTCCTGATTGACTGGCTTTCATCTCCCAAGTGTCAAGATTGCAAGTGTGTGCTACTGGGCTGGTGAGATGGTTCAGTGGGTCAGCTAGCGGGGTCAGCTAGCATCACGCTAGCTGCCAGGCCTTAGAACTTGAGTTTGATCCTTGGGACCTCTGACTTTCATGTGCACGGGCGTGCCCCACCCCAAAATAATAAATTTTTTGAGATAGGGTCTTACCATGTAGGACTGGTTGATCTAGAACTCCCTATGTAGAT